TTATAATTACCAAAGTCTTTATCGGAATGCACAATCAACTTCAATATAAGAAGATTCACTTTCAACTCTTTTTCTTAGATATTTGTTGCCATGGATGGTCGGGATTTTTTGTAAAGCCAAAGTCTTTTCTAAACAGCCTAGTGAAAAATCTTTCCCCAAAAAACCATTTTTATTTTACAATTTGTTGAAATAAGAGGCATACATTTATAAATATAAACACCTTTCACTGTTTTATAAACAGTGTGCCACTTTAGGTGCGCTCAATAAACTAAAAAAAATAACTGCATCTTTGGTAATGTGCCATTTTTGGCACGACCAAAAATTTTCACTGTTCCCTGGTTCTTTGGCAATGTGCCATTTTTGTCACACTCAAATTGTTTAGTTTATAAAAAAATCAATATTCATATTTAAGCTAATTACTGACCTGGGTTATGTTTTCTCATCTTTAATCTGTGCAAATCACTTAGATATATAAGTAAACAGTTTAAAATATTGAAATAAGAAGTAATTTACTAACCTTCTACACTAAGCCTCCATACTTCCTTTTCTATATGTTGGCCTAAAGTGATAGTAATTTCCAAAACATCCACTATAGTGCACTAAACCATAATAGCAATAGGCAAAGAACCTTTGGACGCCAATTGTTGAAATTAAAAAGTTAACAGGCGAACGTGAAATTTTTTTGAATCCTCATGTGCCAATAATGGCACGCTGTCAAATTAAGGGTTAAGGGTTGTGCCCTCTTCGTTGGTTGCTGCTTGTATGATGGGGTAATATCAAGGATTATTTCGGTTAATTTAGTTCAAAACTCGAAAGAGAATTTTTTTAATAGGAGCCCTAATTATTTTTGCGTTACATTTTTGTTTCTTCATATCTAGATTAGGTTATTTCTTTACGTGCAACTACAATCTTAGAAGTTGCGATCCACAGAAAATGTCTGGCTTCTGTAAATTAAGATCACTATCTTAAACGTAGACAGGATAGTCAAAAAGTACAAAATCTAAAACAGGCATAGCCTATTTGAATCTATTTTAATGATAGTCTCATAGGAACTGACCCTTTTATAACTTTATAACTGTTTATAGCCTTATAAAAATGTAAAATATTAAGTTTATGATAATTTCTGAGGTTTACGAAAGTATTATTCTGCTCTCTATGCGTCATGTTCTCTCAAGAGTGTTTCCATTTTCTTATCTCACGACTTAGTATTGGCGCGAAGACCTTCAACTTTATAGTGTTTCTGAGTACTTAACTATAATGGAGTCAAATCACTCCAAAGATGCTATATTACTTTCACTTATTCCTCTGTAATGCATTGTGTTTTCATAAAAAAAGTTATTTTAAGACATATAATCGATATATTTGATAAGTATCAAACAATGTTTGAAATTAATCACATTTATTCATTTGACAAGATGATTTAAAACTAAAATACCCCCGCCGCAGCAAACCTGCAGACTAAGCGAATTTACATTTGCCTTGAACACATGAACACACACACACATTTGAATTGATTTTTAATTAAATCTATTTAAATAGCATTAGCTTTAACGATTACCTAGGTTTGCTGCTACAGGGAGGCTAATAAAGTGTGGGTTTTAAATTTGATTTTTTTTAATTTTCTCTGTAACCAATAACCGTACAAAACACTTTGGTATACTAAATTATTAGTTTTTAAGCTCTTTAAAATAGTTTAGAGATGAATTGAGTTTTTGAGGGTCACAAATGAGAAAACCATTTTTTCCATAAAAACCCCCGTAAAACCATATTCCCATGGTCCGATCATGCTGGTTCGCGAACTCATTCAAGTTTATCCCACCTTACACCTTCAAACAAAATTTCATCAAAATCGGAGAAAAATTACTCAAGTTATCCCGTTCACGGACGTAAATCAATATGAAAATACCCCCGCCACAGCAAACCTGCAGACTTAGCGAATTTCTATTTGCCTGATTGGATTTAAACTAAAATGTCTCCTTAAAAATATCACATTTATTCCCTATTTAAACAGAATTAGTTTAATGAGTACTTAGGTTTGCTGCAACAGGGAGGGTAAAAATGTGTTTTTATACAAAATGTTAAAAGGTACTGTAGTTTAGTAAGAAATTAATGTTTTTTCCAAATTTGACCAAAATATGTTCATAAACAAGCAAACTACAACAGTTGACTTATTCTCCATAAGAATAACATGGGAATTTTAAAATTACAATTTTGTTTGAATTTTCTCCATAACAATTAGGCGCATAATAACGCTTCAATATACTAAATTATTTGTTTTTTTAAGCTCTACAAAATGGTTTAAAAAGAAATTGTGAAATTTTGTGTTTTTAGGGTCAAAAATGGGAAAAACCTATTTTTACCCCATAAAACCCCCCATAAACCCCCGTTCCCATAGTCCGATCATGCTGGTTCGCGAACTCATTCAAGTTTATCCCACCTTACACCTTCAAACCAAATTTTATCAAAATCGGACAAAAATTACTCAAGTTATCGTGCGGATGGACATATATATATATATATATATATATATATATATATATAAAAATTTGAACGAATGGTGGTTTTGGCCTCTGGGGACATCAAAATGAAAAAGTAAATCGGTCCCGGGCCTAGGTCTTACCATGAGACCTACGGTAATAGCTACTTCCCTATAGGGAAATTCGCTAAAAAGCATATCGGTCCCGGCTCCAGGTGTTACCGTGCCACCTACGGTAATAGCTACTTCCCTATAGGGGAATTTTCAAAAAATTGCGTGCTTTAATGTTATAACCTTTGACTATTGATTCAGTATCCAATAGTTAATGCTATAACCTAAAGATGATTTGCCTTTTATTTTGGAATACTGTACTTTTATTGAATTTATTAAAAAATCGTTTAACATTTATGAGATAATTCGCTTCACCATGTAAGCCTGATCCTTATTGGTTGGTCGAAAAAGTTGTTTAAAATCATGAAGTCTAATATTAAGCTATTATCAAGTTATTATTAGTTTGAGTTAAGTTAACTTGGTTTATTAACTTAGTTAGGGAAGTTGATTCCATGTTGTGAGTTACATTGACAACTATTAAACTCATTACAGTTGTATATAAATAGTTTGTCTAAAAAAATCAAATAAAAGATCGATACAATTTAAAATCGATATAATTATGCCAAAAAGAATTTTGTCCGTTGAACCATCTGCTTCGTTAAATACCCCCGCCGCAGCAAACCTGCACACTAAGCGAATTTCCATTTGCCTGAATTGATTTTAAATTAAATCTATTTAAATAACATTAGGTAAATTTAGGTATTCACGTCTCATTGGAAAGTGCGTGTCGCGTAGAGTTGCAAACTGACCTTAATTTTTGAAAAAAGTCCGTTGGGCTCTGCCCCAGTGGCTTTCAAAGTCCCCATAATATCCTCATGATAGTTGTTTACATTATCATCAACTGTATAATTTGCTGTTATTATTTATTTTGTAATTCAAGGAAACGCGTGTATAAACTTTTTGACTGATTTGGTTGAAATTAAATATTTACTATTTGAATTTGGGTTTGCGTACATATTACAATGGAAAAATTCGAGAAAGCATGGACACCGTCCACTAAAGTAATTCAGTAAGCTAAATCATACATTCGTAGATTAATTTGGAAATGTATTCGAAAGTAAAATTATTTGATATCTACGACACTTTTAAACAAACAACAATGCGTAAACAAACAATAATTAGTAAACAAACTTCTAACTCTAACCATTAATTAGATAAAGTAGTAGATATCCCATCTAAATTGACCAGCTGTTGCCAATTATGTTATTGTTTTCAAATAAAACATGGCTCATCTTGCCAAGTGTGCATGTGTCAAATAGAATATTTCGTACCTAGGGCCGAAAATGAGGTTTTGCCGACTCGAGATCGAAGTCGAGAACTTAAAACGATCGAGAGCTGCAAAACTATTTCGGTCTGTGGTACGAACGCTATTTTCACCACACTATACCCTATTACCACTATTCACCACAATTATAATGCACACTGATAGTCAACACAACTACAACTTTAAGGTTCTGTGAAGAAATCATTTGAGGAATCAGCAAAAATAATAATAAATAGTTGCTAGTCAGCGGTGACAATAAAACAATTCTATTGCAATGCTATGGATACTGATTGTGTATTTATAAAATGCATTCATGTTTTAAGAAAGTAAGGGGGCAGCTGATTTTCGGCCCTAGGGATGTAAAAACATACTCGGTCCCCAAATGACGATGACAGCTGGCATTGGCAGCAAAAACGTAAATTTCATCCATCAATTAACGTATGTAAAACAGCTAAACACATCATAGTGTGGTGAAACATATATTCAATCTTTTAGACGTTGTTACTATGGCAGCTAATGTAACATTATGAATGCTTTTACAATAAATGGTCCTCTCAACCAGGCTCAGTTAAAGAAATTGCGTACTTAAATCTGTAGTTTACATCTTTACAGTTTCTACATTTTATTTTTATGACTAAATAACATTACCATCCTTATTTAAGTTGGAGAATATTTTGACGTCCGTTGCGTGTGCTATATTTGTGTTTACTAAACTATAACCAAAAAGAAAAGCACATACTGTAAAATTTACCATAACAACATGGCGTCAATATCAGCGCATTCTTAACGTTTTACCTCCATGAACACAAATAAAAATGATTTGAAATTTTAAAATAGAATGAGTAGTCTACTTGCACTTTTCAGAGTTAATACTACTCATTATTTTAATGGTATAGCTACTTCTATCTACAACGCACTGAAGAGAAAAACTCCCATAAACCTATTGAGTAACACATTATACTGTAGCCTACATCTAAAGTAGAAAACAAATTTTAGAAGCACATCTTCTGCAACTAAGATAAGTTTTGACATTTAAAAAATGTTATAATTAAAAATAACAAAGACGATTAAAATGCGAGTACTTCTCCTTTCTCCAGAAGTTATATATACCAGCTGGTGCTGCCGTGGCGCGCTCAGTATACTCTCGCCATGCGCGCTGCTCACTTCGTTGTCTTTGGTGAGTCATTTGTTTACCTTTGGAATATTTAAATTACTTTAAATTCAATTATTTGTAACTGTATTTGTACTATGTGGTGGATAATCTTGTGCATTTTTCTATCGTAAGTAGTTGTTGGTAACTAAAAATGTATCTTCAGCTTTATTATTTATACGTTAGACATTTTAGTTCTGATTATTAAAATACTTAAATTTATTATTTAAATTTGTTTGTTCACCGGTATACAGTTTGCTCTTGTAAGACTACTTTAAACTATTGTTGCTTTCGTATCGAGATACGCACCTAGGGCAAAAAAGTACTTGATAAAAACTCCACATAAAATAGACCTCGGAACCTTACTATTTTATAAAACAATGGTTTCACCAATAAATAAATATTATGCTTTATTTAGCTCTAAAACATATTGTTTGATTTCAATCAGCTGTGTGATGGTGTAAAAAAGTTTCAGATATGTAAACGAATCAAATGTTTTCAACATGGGGTTTCTTGGATACCAATGTTTTGTTTCCAAAGCTTACGGGGGAATTGTTAAGACATTGTCATTAGCTTCCAAGGCAAATTATAATAATCGGCAATATCACTTAAACACCTACCTGTATTTATAATTTGGTATTGTAGGATGAAAAGGTTTTCAATAATTCGTATAATACCTTATTTTGCTTATTTTGGTATCGTGGTCTACGATAATTTAAAACATCTAAAATACTCAAAAAGCCGGCTTATATAACGTGTGGGTGAAAACAAAACTAAATGAATGTGTTCAGTACATAGGCCTATTGATAACTTACAACCAGTATAGAGCAGCTCTGTTTTGACACTCTTTATACCGGTATGTTGGTATGAATAAGATCCTATAGCAGAATATCCATTTTCAAGATAAATACAATAATGTTATAGGGTACTTATGAAAGTATACATCTTACCTTTCATCATGCAAAGCCATTAGAAATATCTAACCTATTTGAAAAAAAAAACTGCCAATGTACCACGAATGAAATGCGAAACAATCAAGGTTTTTAATTAAATAATGTTAACAATAATTATTCTAATAGAAAACCGAATGACCAAGTTATTTTTTAACTAACTATATCATCATTAACATAATACTATATAAAATTAAGATCAAGTTTCAATTTAGAACATTGATCCTTTTAAACTAGCGTGTCTTGTCTGAAAAGTTTAAAATTAATAACTATTATTATTAATACTTCTGTAGGGTTTTAAATCACTCATCCTCAAAACTACAGTGGTAATGTGACAATCTCCAAAATATCTTGGTTATGTAATGTAATTTGTAGAGATTTTAACTCTAATCTCTTTCCGTAAAATCTTTAATATCTCTAATAGATTTGTTCAAACCAAAAAACCTTATTACTGTAGTTTGTTTTTTTTTTAATACAGTACATTGTTATGACCCCATATCACTATACAAACCCTCAAGCATAACAAGAATCATTTTCATCAAACAACTGTCCATCTTTGGTCAACAAGGTATCTTGTTGAGTAATTTAGAGAGTAATTGAAATCCACATGTGAGTGTTATTAACAGGTTCAGAGTGAGAGGTGAAAAGTACTCCGAGGCATTGAGTAATAGGGTGACCGCAGACAGGTCAGTAACCAGATCTGGTGCGGTCACTGTTACACACCGGTCACCGGTCACTGGCTAAAGTAACACGCTACAATCCAGTTATAGGTCACTTGCTAAAGTAATAGGGTACAGTCTAGTCGCGCACAAAAGGACCACAGTAATAGGGTGGCCGCAGACAGGTCAGTAACCAGATATGGTGCGGTCACTGTTACACACCGGTCACTGGTCACTGGCTAAAATAACACGCTACAATCCAGTTATAGGTCACTTGCTAAAGTAATAGGGTACAGTCTAGTCGCGCATAAAAGGACCACAGTAATAGGGTAGCCGCAGACAGGTCAGTAACCAGATCTGGTGCGGTCACTGTTACACACCGGTCACCGGCTAAAATAACACACCACAATCCAGTTATAGATCACTTGCTAAAGTAATAGGGTACAGTCTAGTCACAAATAAAAGGACCACAGTAATAGGGTGGCCGCAGACAGGTCAGTAACCAGATCTGGTGCGGTCACTGTTACACACCGGTCACCGGTCACTGGCTAAAATAACACACCACAATCCAGTTATAGATCACTTGCTAAAGTAATAGGGTACAGTCTAGTCACAAATAAAAGGACCACAGTAATAGGGTGGCCGCAGACAGGTCAGTTACCAGATCTGGTGCGGTCACTGTTACACACCGGTCACCGGTCACTGTCTAAAATAGCAGGTTACACTCTAGTCACAGATTACAGGACCACAGTAATATGGGTGGCCGCAGACAGGTCAGTAACCAGATCTGGTGCGGTCACTGTTACACACCGGTCACTGGCTAAAATAACAGGTTACAATCCAGTTATAGGTCACTTGCTAAAGTAATAGGGTACAGTCTAGTCGCGCATAAAAGGACCACAGTAATAGGGTGGCCGCAGACAGGTCAGTAATCAGATCTGGTGCGGTCACTGTTACACACCGGTCACCGGTCACTGTTAAAGTAATAGGTCGCACTCTAGTCACAGATTATAGGACCACAGTAGTAGCATGACCACAGACAGGTCAGTAACCAGATCTGGCGCGGTCACTGTTACACGCCGGACACCGGTCACTGTTACACTACAATCATAGGTTACTGTCCTAATTTATACGTATCACACCGGTCACTAGTAACTGGCTAAAGTACCACGTTACACTCCAGTCACATATACAGTAATAGTGTGTCCGCAAGGGTAACCTAAACCGGCGCAGTCACTGGTCACGGTTCACTCTTTTAGACTAGAAAACCATGTTACCCTCAAGTTACAAGGCGTTAAAGGGTAACACACTATTTATCACTTGCTACTGTACTTAGAATAATATGTTACCTACTCGTTAACAATAAAATTTCCTATACTATATAAACTAACACTTTACACGTCTGTCACTATTAATTTTACAAAAGTATCTATCCAACATCGGTGTGCAGCAAAATAAGTCACATACTATAGTCACATACTGTTCAAATAAGTCACATACTACTTTAAATAAATACACTCCCCTCCAATTATTTTAACTTTATATGATACCTATACTGTATACCTGACAAGTTCTATTTTACACCGGTTTTACAAATCTTCATGTACAATCAAGAGACATTAACGCCCGGTTAGGACCGAATCCCTAACATTTGCTCGATTATCACAATTTTCCAACACGATCTGCCAGTAATCCTTGACAAACCAGGAGCTATGGGATGATTGGTTTATCCCGTGGGTTCACCGTGGTTGGGCAACGGCTTCGGGAGAGAGTAAGGACACGATTTGAGCCACTGGCGCACACGACACCAGCTACTGATAAGGCTATCATTAGTGTCGTACTGAGCCATTTTAGCAGCTGAGCACTGCTACAATTAACTGGGGAAGAGGGGGTAATTATGTGAATATCAATTAATTTTATTGTGTATAATGTCTTACAAGATCTATCAAGTAAGAAATCAGGCTTATGGCCACTAAACTAACACTACAAACTAAGTCTTCTGGGTAAGACCACGTTACCGGCCAAAATGTATACATGATGGTTACATACAGACCTCATTAGAAAAGTTCACCATATTTATCTGGTGCTGTAGCAGTTGTAGACGAGACTGAACGTCAGCACTTGGCTATAATATTTCCGACTGTGACGCGACCGTACCCAGAATACTTCGTATGTAGTGTAATCTAATACGTTCAATCTCAGTCCATTGCGGTCATTGAATATTAAATATAGTATTATAGTATCCGGTTCAAAAATGTTGGTGTTTAAATAGTGTAAATCCATCCTTATTTCCTTAAAACTGCATCAACCACAGTTTCGTCATCGAATTGATGCCATCCTCAGACAGTAATAGAACATTTGCTTACTGCAGTCTTCCACTGAAAGTGTTCTCAATGTTCTTGTATATCCTGAAGATGGCCCAAATTTGGTGCCGATTTTTCGATGATCGCCACAAGCATTGTAGTCTATTTACACAATTATGGACCGAATTAAATAATTTGGTAACAATAGTTTAATGTGTTACCACTTGAAACCAGTTGTATGTAATACAAAATGAATACAGTTTAATTTGCAGGGTAAAATTTAAAATGCACCTTCAAACCTTTATAAATGGGGTGAAAAAAATAATACAGAAATATCGAAATAAACCGAAGATGCCAATAAAGTAACAAATGTTGACTCTTAATCTACAATACCACTAGGTAAATTATTCTCCACTAACTGGCAGCCATTGCTCCAATCTAACTCCCCCATTTGTCTGTTAACAAAGTTCATTTTCCAATGTTCCCAACTACTGACATTTACTCTCGCCATTAGACTAACAGAGGCTAAACCATCACTTTCAGCTGTCTTTCACGAAGCCTTGACCTGGGAAAAGTAATAGGTCTTTGTCGAAATTGGACTGAACTGCGCATTCATTTGATGGAGTATTTTATGAAGTTTGCACATTATCTATTTATTGGAGTATTTTTAAACACTTATTATTTTTGTACTCACTGCAACTTCATTGCAAATTGTCACCATGTGTTAATAGCTTCTAAAATACTCTCTGGGTTATATAAAGAAGTAATACCAAATTTTCCTTCCCTTAAAAGAAGGGCGTGTTTAATTTGGACAAGGGAGACTTGAAAATAAAAATACCTTACGAACGTTACAAATCCACAACACTCTTTAATTTGCAAACTATAGAAAAATACGAATTAAGAAATTTTGAAATATTTTCAAACTCAACTTTCTGGTTTTTAATTGACTTTAATTAATGTATCGACGCTAAGTAATTTAGCATCCAATTACCTCAACAAACCTGATAGTGGTTAGTCGAGATAAAGACAGTTACGTAATTCTGATGGCAGTGACGAGAGTGTCGCTTGGGGGAAAGCAACAGCTGGATAATAGAAATAATTAATTAATTACAGAG